AATGCTTTCAAGCTATCAATTCCGGTTCAGTGACTCTGCACTTGCTCTATTACTATAGTACTATCCTGCCTTCAACTTTTATGAACGACCGGGTGTTTAAGGTTAGCGGTTTGTCGTATTATCTGGCTGTCTAGAAAATGAAAAAAATACAATTACTTTACTATGCAAGTTAAACATGTGTGTTTTAATATTAGTGTTTTTTAAAATATATTTAGGGCGCCTTTATAACATATGCTAAATGCTTTCAAGCTATCAATTCCGGTTCAGTGACTCTGCACTTGCTCTATTACTATAGTACTATCCTGCCTTCAACTTTTATGAACGACCGGGTGTTTAAGGTTAGCGGTTTGTCGTATTATCTGGCTGTCTAGAAAATGAAAAAAATACAATTACTTTACTATGCAAGTTAAACATGTGTGTTTTAATATTAGTGTTTTTTTTTTATATATATTTAGGGCGCCTTTATAACAAATGCTACAGGCCCCGCACTAGCTTAATCCGGAACTGCTCGACATAAGCCTGCTGAGTCGTTCTCATCATAACAATCCTTGACGTCTTTATTGCAAATGCTTTCCGTTACTCAATAATAAATGATTTACAATAAACTTAAAATTATGATGTCATGTAATTGCCATACCATCAAGTACTCCACAAGCACTAATTCAGTGCATAATAGTTATTTATTTACAACTGTGATGATCAAGTTTGTCATTTCATTAATATTCTGTTCGGAAATAAAATAAGTAGGAAAAACAAAATCAGCAACAATAATGACAGTTTAACGATATGTAGCAAAACGGTTTAAAGGTAAATCGTTTCTCGTGTAAAATATTGTCGTCTTGTCACAGTTGCTACCCTAAATCAAATGCATTGCATGGTTTTTGTTCACATTTAAAGAAACAAAAATAGGTGCTTTTGTAAAATGTTACAAATCCATGAATACATTATTTTAAATGGCCCATTGGAATACGAATGTCATGCAAGCAGTTTTCTCGCACACACAGTTTTCCTACGACAAATGATGTATCTTAAATATAATTGTCAGAGAATCTGTCGATCGTAATCATATAAAGTCAGTAAGCATGCATGTTTAATTAAAGCAGATTTCTTTTAAAACAAAAGGAAACAAATTGGATAAATGGATGAGCTTAAGCAATGCATTCTACATCTTGGATGCAATGTGGGCAACACAAACTTTACGAACTGGACTACACCTTTTCACCACTTGTTAACTACCAACATAATGTGATAGATCTCAGTATGATAGACGAGGATTAAAAATCTTGGATATATTGCATTTGCTCCATTGTTTAAAGAATGTGTTATATATGTCATGACATGAAGACATTTAGATTTACAATTCTCACAATGGGCAGTGTACCACCCCGTATCAGTGAATGCCCTCTGGCATCAGAACTAATTCTGAGGCCACCTTATGATACTACATACATACTTTTTTGAGCCCTACAAAGAGTATTAGACACATTTTAAATCTTGATTTGAAGCTTTTGTGACTGCAGGAATCCATACTGTTTGGTTCTTTCGGTAAAGTCACGTAGGTAGAAAATAAAATAAATCACGACGTTTCGGGCGCAGCACAAGCATCCGTCATAAGGTGGGAAAGCATTATAAAAATTTTGATTTAAAGCTTTCGTGACGGCAGGGATTCATATTCTTGGTTCTTTCGGTAAAGTCACGTAGAAGGGAAAGACTAAAATAATAAAAATATATTATTATTTTAGTCTTTTAACGTCGTGAGAATTTTATTATTTTATATTTTTATTATGTTATTGTTTCCCTTCTACGTGCCTTTATAAAAATGTTAAGGTAAAAATGCAGCTCTGCAATTTCTTACATAACGCCACTGCTGACAGAAGGGCCTCCACGACAGGAAGCTCAAGAGAACCTCTCTAGTCGACTCTTCCATGCTGGCCAGATGTCTTAGAACAGGCGGGAGTGCCCACACTTTACCCCACCAAACACGACTTGACAATTAAAAGTGGTGTACGCATTTATAGTGCTGGGTGGATAGAGATGGGGTATTTCAGAAACCTGCACCATTGATTCAACCAAAATGTACAATCTTAAGCGCTATAGTGTACTCACAGTAACTACGCAAAAAAAAATCTATGCCATGTAATGATATTGTTTTTTTTTCCATGCAGAAACCCAGCTGAGACCATCAGACAACTACACTTGAGAGTTGAGAACCCAGTTTAATCAACGGGTGGCTGCCCAAAACCCAGGATCTCAGTGGTGCCGGCTCAGTATTTGACATGGTATTAGCCCCCTGAGCCACCCAGCCACCCTGCTATGAACCTGGACATTTCAATTGGCCTCATAGGTGCATAGCCACTTCATGAGCGCAAAGTCTTGCGGCACGAGCCCGTCGCCGTGTCTGTTCCATTTATTTAAAGAGTGCCACAAAATCTCGATGGATCGCGTGCTTCCACACGTTTCCAGAGTGCCAATTCTTCTGCACTTTATGTAAGACAAGGAGTATCTGCCTATGTAAAGCATGTACATTTACTGACTACAAAGTGTTTATATTCAACGCTTTGGAGATATGAATACACTCAGAAATACAATTGGGAAATCTGCTTATTTTGATGACAATGCAGATTATGTTACGTAGTTGACCAAAGATAAAGAGGTCTCTCTTGCCATTTCTCTCTCTTCACAAGACCTCACCCTCACGTCCTTCCTCCTGCCAGAATTGTAACTTACTTAGTCAGTACGTGGCATCTGAGGTCAGCTCTTAAACTATCATTACATGTCTTTGCATAAGCATTTTGTATGGATATTTCAAAGTGCAGAGAGATATAAATCAATTCAGAGACACATGAGTAATCACGTTTTCTTTATGACAAATGTCAACCTGGATCTCACACCCGGACTCTTTGACACGCCATAGTCGGTGCTCAATACACAGTAATTGTTGAATATTTATTATCCAACAAACACATTCAATATGAATTATTTAAATCATATAACATAAATACATTTGGTGGTTCATTTTAAAGAATACCTAATCGATACACATGCATATAATGAAATACCATTATATAAACCCGTGCCTGGAATTACATGAGAGACAGACATAGTAACACGTGAATCAGAGAACGAATGAAACTTGTTTACAGCACTGAATGTTAAGGAACGTAAGTGGGCGACGGCATGAAACATCATGGATGGAAGGGATGAAGGCCAATGCTCGAGACGGGTGATGGAATGGCATTCAAAGGAGAGAACATGCCCGACAAGATTACCACTGCAGGGAGCGTGTAATGGAATGAGGGGTGCCGTCAGGGGCGGAGCCAGGATTTCAGGCCGGGGTGACATTCAACAAATGTTAATTTCAAGAATGATTAGAGAGTCAGGCTGTTGAACTAGTAGACGCCATCGGTTGGCGACACACTCTGACAATGCAGTTGCACGGAGTCCGCCGGACCGAGTGTCGTACACTTATACGCAGAATGTCACCCCTGTCACCCACCCTGGCTCCGCCCCTGGGTGCCGTGGTGGCGAGATGTTAACTACCTCGCCTGGTATGGAGGAGGTTGTGGGCATCGATCCCAACCCTGATGCTTGTATATTTGGAGTTTGCACGTTCTCCCCATGGTCGTGTGGATTTTTCTCCGGGTCTTCCGGTTTCCCCCCTCCACGTTTAGAAACATGCGTTTAGAGTATTTGGCTGCTATAAATTTCCACATGATAAACCACTTCGTTGAGCTATCATTTGTGGCCAGGTCGCTTCTGAAAAATAATTATATAGCTTAGTGGGCCTTACCAGCGAAAATAAAAACTGTTAAGTTTTTTTTTATTCTTGGTTATTTTGGTAAAGTAATGTAGAAGGGAACAATAAAATAATAAAAATATAAAACAATAAAATTCTCACGACGTTTCGATTGCAATACAAGCAATCATCATCAGGTGTGAAAACCACAGCAAGAACATTTGAAAATAGTGGCGGTTTTTTTTAACGTTAGCACCACGGAGAGAGATTTGGCAGTTATTCAGATGGACGAGTCCATCTATGTTCGGAAAAGAGGAGGGGGGAGACGAAAATAATGGATGCGGTCTGAAAGCCATCGTAAGCGTGAACAATCAATTAAGAACCGAAATGGTTTATCAAATCCTTCCAATGATTGCTAAGCCATAATCCATCTTCTCGGTTGAAATTGTCTCTGTGTTTGTATATTTCAAAGTGCAGAGATATATAAATCAATTTATAGCCTCATGAACGAATCTCTCATGGTAGCCAGATGGTTTGCAAAGAACCACTGTCTTGGAGAAGTCAATGTCATGTGAGCCTACTGAATTATAACAGTGATCTGCCACTTTTTTTCAAATTTTCTTGCTGTGGTTTTCACACCTGATGATGATTGCTTGTGTTGCAGTCGAAACGTCTTGAGAATTGTATTGTTTTATATTTTTATTATTTTATTGTTTCCCTTCTACGTGACTTTACCGAAAGAACCAAGAATATGAATCCCTGCAGTCACGAAAGCTTTAAATCAAAATTTAAATGTGAAGTTTTTGTTTAGTTTAGAATGTTCAGGAGTGAGAGGGATTATTGGAGATTATTGGGATGGCATGGCGTTAGACTCTTATCCAGCAGTGGATTGACCATGGCTGATGATGATAAGTCATAACTCATCCGCTGCTGGACGAAGTCCTCCTCATCACCATCCCACACAATCTGGCAATAAAACAATCCGTCTAGAACCTGGACATGAGCTGATTCCATCACTCCAGCTCGACAGTAGTTACGCTTGTATCACGTTACATGAAGCATTTGAAAACATACACATAGTATTCTACACAACACATGCATGCACGGAATACTATCCCACATACTGTGAAAACACACATACTGAAAGAATGGAGTAGCCGATTGTGAACTTTATCACTCATGTAAGTTTTTAGATAAACCCGTGCATAAATGTCAAGCCTACAGAGGAAATGGGCAACAACCCGTTGTGATGCGTGCTGTGCAGAGCACGACACTCTGTACGAGGTGAAGCTGGTGGCATACAACAAGCACAGCGATGGCTACGCCGCGGTGTGGAAGGGGAAGACATCACGGAGTCCAAGCGTTGGTAGGTACCGTTACACGTTTCTGTGCGCGCGTGTGTGTGTGTGTGTGCGCGGATGCATTTTGCACACACGTGGAGGGCGGTAGTGCAGTGGTTAGCGCGCTGCGCTGTGAACTCGGCGACCCGAGTTTGATTTCCCACTTACGGCCAACGCCATTGACGAGTATCCGAACCGGTCATGGGCCTCCCCTAGGTCGACTCAGCCTCAAATCAGTACCTGGTGCGGTGTGTAAACATCGCCACTCGGGAAACAAAAGCATCCGGGCGTGATGCTGACCACCCACCCCTTCGTGTGCTGTGCCTGCCTTCATAGGTGCCTGCTAACATCACTTACCCCAAAAATCTGTTGCAGGCTATACGGGGGATCTTTGTCTTTGGGCGAATGCATTCCCGTTTGTGTTTGGGGTCGTGTGGTAGCTGAAGCCTGGCTAGGATGATTGCTAACGCTATTCTGCCTGAAGTGTGTACCCAACATGCCGTATGAATATAAACATTGAGGAGGTAGAGTAGTTTCTTGGCCATATGTCAAGTCCAGGCCACTGACACATGAGCTCTGCAAATTGGTAAATCCTTGCACATGTACTCAATCATTAAAGTTAGAAGGGCACATCGTATTTGGAGGTGTTCTGCAAATGTTTGTTTAGCTGTAACATAGCTTTACGTGCCACGGTGGTTAGCACACTGCCTACAAACCTAGTGAGTGACCTAAGGTCAATTCATGGGCATGCAAAACATTATTGTAAACAGTATTGTTTTTTATTAATACAATTTTGTATAAAACCTTACTGAGTGCTGTGGTGGAATTGTGATATTGACCGACAGTGTGGAGAGATAGCCCTTACCAATAATATTTGGTAAATCATCAGTATTTATTTTAGTGTACCTGACTGCTCATGAGCTCAAGATGGGCAAAGCTGATCTAAAGTTTGCGTATTTACTACAATTATTTTGGCTCATATAAGTCTGCAAGGAAATTATCCTCTTAGCATACAATATATTATATTCTTGTGTACGGCAATATGTTCAGGAGTTAAATGCCAATGTTGAGGTCTAACGAGAGAGCTCATGGAGACAGTTCATGTAGTTTTGCTGTTCCTTTATTGAAGGAGCACACACTACAGTGGTTAAATATATGGTCCATAGTTTGGGGTTTCATGGCCACAGTTTTAAACTGTCGCTTGTGTCTTTAATTTCCCGTTTATGAAGGAGATGTGCGCATTGGCCTGCTGATGTTCTAATGCGGTTGATGGTTCCACCAGTGTCTTCGAGGAATGTCAACGCCAGGAGGTGCGATGTTTGGGTCTAGAATTAGGTGCTTGTATACACGTGGGCACACAAGCACACACAGACAGGATATATTTCCAAAAAGTGTTCTTATCAAGTGCGATACAACAACAAAACCTGCATGCATTTAAATAATGTTTGGGTCTCGAATGAGGTGTTTGTACTGGATTGCCCAGAATGCTTTGCAACAGTGCTTGGTGAGGTTTGACATGTGTTGTCTATTACGCATTGGTAAGGTCGTGCATATTCAATAATCATGGTATAACAATGAAATAACAGGATCATTAAATAGTGATGCTGGGATAAATTACTCATGATGGACTCTGGACATTTCGTTTTTTCTCTGCTTAATAAAATATGTATATGTAAGAATATAGAAAGCTCATCATAGGTGAGGAAATTCTCTCATTATCTACTGGCAAAGATGCAGATGCAAGTACCTTGAACCATGTAACAATGCCTGTAAATTGACAAGCTTGTGGATTTTCAAATCGTTCGGCTAAACTGAAAACATTGAGCAAAAACGCACATCAGCACACCTGTCACCAGATCACATCCAATAAGGGAGAAATAGTTTGCAGTTAAGGATTTAGAATCTTGGCTTTATCCAATAAAAAATATAGATGCTTGAGTGAGGTAGATTGATTGGGCAGCTGAATTAATATTTTACCAACCACCCCACATATATCGTGCACGTAATTCCTAGCAGCTTTGAGTCCATTGGCAGAGTGCTGCTTATCTGAGAAGAGTTTTCTCGATTCTAACAATCACTATGAATGACTATAGCGAGGGCTATAACCAACACACGTTTTTGTGGTGTCGTGACTGTGGCCATCCAACCAAAACTATGAGCCATGCAGTCTGCACTCCTTCGACGGCAGAATAACAAAACTCCACAGACTCTCTCCTGAAGCCTTCCCATGGCTGTCAGACCTCGACATTCGCATTTAGCTACTGAACATATTGCCATATGCAAGAATAGAATGGTGCTTAGTGATGTGTACCTGGCAACCTGAGTACTTATCCCTCTGCATGGCTAACATCAGTGGGCTCACCGCCTCCACCACCCCCTTCACCAACCCACACTGACAAGCCCAGTAAAGTACTGGCAAGCAACCTCCATCAATGAAACGGCATGTATAGGTCTTCAACCAGTATTGGAGAGACAGTAATTTATTATATTACACCCGTGTACTTTATGCGGTCGTCAGGACTGCTCTTCCTTCCAATAATAGGAAGCCACTGGAGCTATGCACTTTTAAATCTCGATTGGAAACTCATTTCTTTAGAACTGCTTTTTTGTGTTTAGTTTGTTGTCCTTCCCCCACACCTCCGGTTCGCACGTTTTGCTATGTACGGTGCGAAAGAAGTTCAGCATACATACGTATAACATTACTCATGGGCAATCATCTCCGTATTTTTCAGGCACTGTATAGACGCAGACAAAAAAAACAATTTAAATCGAAGATATTTACTGCTGCAGTGCAGCTAAGCCTTTCTACAGAATTGGCGTGCACTGGACATCAATAAAAAAAAATTGGCCATCGGCTACAGTTGTGAATGACAGGTTGTAATCAAACGGATAACATGAGGATTTCTCCATGATTTATTTTAAATGGATTATGCGAGTTGAGCTTTACATTAATCGCACTGCGATTAGCTGTCAATGGCCATAGTGCACGTGCATATTCATTTTGGATATTCGATGTAGAAAAATGTAGGAGTAGTGGCTTGTGCTTTTGTTGTTCGGAATTTAAGGAGTGAAGATGGGATCTAAAGAAGGTACTGGGGCATCTCCCTCTTCGCCCGTCATCACTGCCCTCATCAAGAATCATAATCATGCATTTATAATTCATGTTGCCGTCAATACCAAAATCCTCGTCGCCATGATTGTCAACATCATCAACATTATCACCATTATTACTAACTTAACATCGAAGTCACCATCACGTCTCTTCTCACCATTCGTCATCTTTACCATTCGTCTCATCGTCAACTTCAATTAACATCATCTGCCATCATTTTTATCATCGTCTACATCGTATGTAATTAAACAGCTCTAAGCCAGGTGGTTGGCAGTGTTGTGGAGGGGGCCCCCATGCCCCACCCACATGCCCCATCCCCAGTGAGAATGTTCACTGCCATGATTACACCCACTGCAAACCTTGTAGTATGTGTTTTTGTTTGAACTTATTTCGCAGCATACATAGCCAACCGTGCTAATCGTAGGTGCGGGGGAAGGACAGCAAATTAAACGCAAAAAAGCAGTTCTAAAGAAATGAGTTTTCAGTTTAGATTTAAAAGTGCATATCTTCAGTGGCTTCCTAATATCGGAAGGAGGAGCATTCCAGATTGCTGCAGAAGCTCATCTGAAAGCGTGCAATGCAGTACCCATCTTTGTTCGATGGTTAATGAAAAGCCACTGCTGTGAAGATGACCGGAGTTTGTGTTTTTATGCTGTCAGGTTTTACAATTCATAAAGCTAAGTATTGTTACCCTCTATTTTAGCATAATATAACACGTGTTGCAATTTTAGTTCATCCTTCTATCTCTTACATTGTAATTACCGGGTTGTTTTCTTACAGGTAATACATTAAACTACTTTTACTCATTATTTAGTTTACCACATCTGCCCATATATTTCAGACATGGTGAAAGGGGTTTACATTTTACAATTTTAAATTCATGATATTTTTTAAAATGTGGAAATCATTAACAAAATTTAATTCACGCTATTTTTTTAAAATGTAGAAATCATTGATATTTTTTTTGTGAAAGCATTTAAATAAACAATACATTGCCCTAAAACTGAGGTATTTTGATGGCGAATTACATCTATGCCTTCAGATCCACTGAGTTTGCAATTTTTAATGTGGCTGTCGATGGCTGAAGCCAAGGGATGTCACAAGCTGTTTGCTTGGGGTCAGGATCCAATTGGCTCGGTATGATTAAGGTAGCAGCACTACTGTGTTGGCAAGGGAGATACAAAATAACCCCCCTCCCTCCCCCCACTTCACACACACACACGTAAAAAGACTGTAACAGCTGTGAATTACAGCCCACACAGCCCAGGCAACGTTCAGTGAAACCTTGTTAATGTCTGAGGTGGGCACTACCACTGCAGTTTGCACTCAGTAGCAGCATCAAATTTGTATGAATGTATTGACCCCCTATATATATATTTCAATTGGCACGTGAGTGATGTTATGGTAGCAAAGACACGTGGACTCCAGCGTGAGCTTGTTCTGCAGATCCATCCGTACAGCCCAACGTGCCGCTGCCTCCCACTCACATCACGGCCACCCCCAACGGCTCGACCACCATGTGGCTGCACTGGAGGAAGCCCCTCTTCTCCGCCGCCAAGATCGTCAACTACACCGTCCGTTGCAGCCCCAGCGAAGTGTTTAATGCCTCATACGTCCTCTATTTCACGTGGTGAGCATTCCCTATTCTGACTTGCTTTTTGTGCATGCATGTATGGCCCTATTTTGATGTATGTTGAACTTATTTTGCACGGCACGTAGCTAACCATGCTTATCAGAGGTGCAGAGAAGGACAACAAACTAAACTGATCCGGACATGATTCGTAGGTTGATGGAAACAGAGAAATGTATCTCTTACTTTTTGGGAAAAAAACAAATATCATGCATTTTGATAATAATTAAAATGCACGATATTTGTTATTACTTGTTTTTAGATGTTTTGCATCGCATGTAAGTTTAGTTCACATGGTGCCTAGCAACGTCTATAGGTTAATACCAAATAGTGTATTTTTTGTAAAGTGATGGGTCCTGTATTTGGGATATTAGACTAATTCCATGAATTAGCATATGTTATCTGGAAGAAAATTAGAATACCTGAAATAAAAAAAGTACACAACCAGATAAAACTCCAAGCTCTGCACAGACGAATGCAATTATTTGCTTGACGGCCATCCTGTGGTCATCTCATAGCCCACACCTACAATAGCTTGCATTCACAGGCAGTCTCCCGTATTAGTGTTCACCATGCTTAAATCACTGCCGCTGGTTGACCATATAAAAGTTTTGATTACAGTCATACATTTTGGAAGATGCCCTGTTTTCGCAAATGCCTTTAGTTTCATTTGCACGAATGAAATACATAACCTTGCAAGCAAAACAATATTTATTATTGTCAGATAGATCATGATTATATTTTTTATAATTAGCACCCTATATACTAGAGTGTCTCAGAGCACTTTATATCAAATCTCATCTCAAACATTTTAAATGGAACCCCCAGTGACAGCTGTCCCAGTGGACACAAGGTGTTTGAGTACCTTTTCAGAATCAGAAGTTTATTGTCTGAGTAAATAATACATTGTGCTATGCGGCTCTTTTTCAAGGGCGACTCCGCCAGCAAAACAGACGTGGCAGCAAGAGTTAATGAACAAGATATAAAATATAAAAATATATATAAAGTACATCAAACCCAATCAGTTTACAAAACAATAACGTACATTCGCATTTGAATTGTTTCGACCTCAATCATGTCTATTTAAAAGAGTACAGTCATGGCAGAGTGGTGTTCCCCAGAGAAGACACTGCCAGTTGGATCCAAAAAAACTTGGAGCAGCTACATTAAACGCTTTTGAACCAAGTTCCGTAGGGAGCGATGATTTCCATGTTTAATCTAAATTGAGTAATTTGTGGGTAATTTCCAAATTAGGCAATTTTTTTTGTAGCCACGCAATGTATGCCTTCTTATATCACTTATGTTTTACGTTTGCTGTTTCCTTATGTTATATTAGTTTCCCAACTGGCGATATCAGTTCAATTATAAGCAGATAGGTGGTGCATTTGCATCTTTAAAAGGGATATGCAATTTCCACAGAATATTTACCTCTATCGGTAACAGTGAAAGATGAAGGTGCAGCCCTGCAATTTCTTGCTCACGCCACTTCAGGAGGAAGGGTATCTTGTGAACGCCTTGAGAGTGTATTTTAGCTTAATCTTCCATGGTGGCTATACACTGTGGGGAAGGTAGGAGTATCCCCACTTTACCCTACGACCTGCAACCGGACAATCAATTAACTGTGGTGAACTCATCATTAGACCTCCTTTGCCAGATCCAAAATGTAATAATAGGGTTTTCTCCTTTTTTATGGCAACAAAACTGAAACTTTTTTTCAAGGATTCATGTCTGCATTAACCACAATACCTGCAGTCAAAATGCAAACAAAAACATACTATGATAATATATGATGCATTGTCCTTGAAACTGATTGGTCCACACCAAGGGACGGCTTTCTTTTGAGCCTCGACCCAATTGGTGCTCGATCACATGACTCCAAAAGGCGTACAGCTCAAAGACAATGCACTATCAAAGTAATGAGGGTTCGGGGTGAGCATCTACATCAGACACGAATCCTTGTAAAAAGGTTTCAATTTTGTTGCCAGAAAAAAGGGGGAAAACCCTATTATTATGTGGTGAACTCATTCACATTGCTAGGGGGACAGATGCAGGGCGTTTATGAAACGTTCCCATCACATGAGCTGCCACGCCAGGAAAAAAAGCCAGCGACCTCTGGATTGCAAGTCCAATGTGCTAACCGTGACACCATGTTGTTCTCACTATCTGTTATCAATACAAAATCGTTAATATTTATATTTAACGTCTTTCGCACCATGCATAGCCAACCGTGCTCATCGGAGGTATTTGAAAGCTATTGGAATCACATGGTGTGATAAAAGGTTGATTGAAAGTTTTAAGCTGCTTCTTTTCGGATGCGAGTTATTATTCAATGTAATGTTTAAAACAATTTCAAGTTGTAATTTGTCAAAAGGTTTTTGCTATGTATATTAAAAATATATTTTTTTGGTAAATGTGTTGTGTTTTTATTTCACGCGGACAATGTATTTCTCCCGTGTCACTTTGTATTAAACAGAACTCCTCGCGTTCAACACCACCACCACCACGTGACTCTGTCGCAACTCGCCCGCTTGTGCTGCTTGCCTGCTTCGCTTCGCTCACTCCCCCTCTCTCCCAGCCTCTCCACTGCTAGCCTGTTCTCTCTCCCAGCCTCTCCACTGCTAGCCTGTTCTCTCTCTCTCTCCCAGCCTCTCCACTGCTAGCCTGTTCTCTCTCTCCTAGCCTCTCCACTGCTAGCCTGTTCTCTCTCTCACTCTCCACTGCTAGCCTGTTCTCTCTCCTAGCCTCTCCACTGCCAGCCTGTTCTCTCTCTCTCTCCTAGCCTCTCCACTGCTAGCCTGTTCTCTCTCTCACTCTCCACTGCTAGTCTGTTCTCTCTCCTAGCCTCTCCACTGCTAGCCTGTTCTCTCTCACTCTCCTAGCCTCTCCACTGCTAGCCTGCTCTCTCTCACTCCTAGCCTCTCCACTGCTAGCCTGTTCTCTCTCTCACTCTCCTAGCCTCTCCACTGCTAGCCTGTTCTCTCTCTCCTAGCCTCTCCACTGCTAGCCTGTTCTCTCTCTCCTAGCCTCTCCACTGCTAGCCTGTTCTCCCTCTCTCACTCTCCTAGCCTCTCCACTGCTAGCCTGTTCTCTCTCTCCTAGCCTCTCCACTGCTAGCCTGTTCTCTCTCTCTCCTAGCCTCTCCACTGCTAGCCTGCTCTCTCTCACTCTCCTAGCCTCTCCATTGCTAGCCTGCTCTCTCCTAGCCTCTCCACTACTAGCCTGCTCTCACTCTCCTAGCCTCTCCACTGCTAGCCTGTTCTCTCTCTCCTAGCCTCTCCACTGCTAGCCTGCCTGCAACGCTTCGCTCTTTCCGCTGCTGGCCTATCACTACACCCTCTGGTAGCGTCCCACCGTACACTCTGCTAGCTTATCCACTGCTAGCCTGTCACTATACACTCTGTTAGCTTCTCCACGGCTAGCCTGTCACCGTACACTCTGCTAGCTTCTCCACTGCTAGCCTGTCACTATACACTCTGCTAGCTTCTCTACTGCTAGTCTCCCGCTATACACTCTGGTAGATTCTCCACTGCTAGCCTGTCACTGTACACTCTGCTAGCTTCTCCACTGCTAGCCTGTCACTATACACTCTGTTAGCTTCTCCACTGCTAGCCTGTCACTGTACACTCTGCTAGCTTCTCTACTGCTAGCCTGTCACTATACACTCTGCTAGCTTCTCCACTGCTGGCCTGTCACTATACACTCTGCTAGCTTCTCCACTGCTAGCCTGTCACTATACACTCTGCTAGCTTCTCCACTGCTGGCCTGTCACTATACACTCTGTTAGCTTCTCCACTGCTAGCCTGTCACTGTACACTCTGCTAGCTTCTCTACTGCTAGCCTGTCACTATACACTCTGTTAGCTTCTCCACTGCTAGCCTGTCACTATACACTCTGCTAGCTTCTCCACTGCTAGCCTCTCACTATACACTCTGCTAGCTTCTCTACTGCTAGCCTGTCACTGTACACTCTGCTAGCTTCTCCACTGCTAGCCTGTCACGATACACTCTGCTAGCTTCTCCACTGCTAGCCTGTCACTGTACACTCTGCTAGCTTCTCCACTGCTAGCCTCTCACTGTACACTCTGCTAGCTTCTCCACTGCTAGCCTGTCGCTATACACTCTGCTAGCTTCTCCACTGCTAGCCTTTCGCTATGTACTCTGCTTGCCTCTCTTCTGCTAGTCTTCGCGAACTCACACTTAGGATTCCGCTAGCCTCTCTACTGCTAGCTTGTCTGCCCTCACTTCTCCAACCTCGCCCTTGCCTCCAGTGGGGGATCAGCCATCACCGCTGGAGAGGGCGAGGTATGCCGAGCAGGCCCCGGACTTCTCTCCTCTCGTATTCACTCCAACCGACTCAACTCCCTGCCTCACCCGTCCTGTATTTATCCTCCTCATTAAACGCCCTAATTAAGCTGGCGTCCTCCCGTCGCCTCCAGCACTTGGCGTCCGCTGCTATCGCCTCAATCTGCAGACTCCGAGGCGCCGACTCCGCCCCTGCATTTGCAGCCAACCAATCACGGCTATGCATCTTAATTGGTCGTCTCTCGCCTTGCTTTCTCTCACAGCACCTGTTTGCCTTGATGTGGCCTCGCTGTCCGCGGCTCCTCACACGTACATGCACACTGTTTGCAAAACCCCATGCGCGTTACTCTACTACAAATGTATGTAACTTTACTACCTATATTTTATTTTCAAACACCACTAACATGTGAGTCTTGACAACTGCGCAGAATGAATACTGTAAAATCAGATGATGAATTCATACCGAAAAAAATGAGAGAAAATGTAAATCTGGAGAACCGTTATTCGTGCAAATGATTTAGTTTTAACATATGTAGTGACATAGAATCGGTCACGTCGCAGCATAGCGCTGGCTGCTGGTGGGGAAGGGGATCTGCAGCTTACAGCAGCCCTGACTGACAGCAGGTCACGTGATAGACCAGAGAGGGATCTAGGGGAAAGGTCACGGAAGGGGCACATCAAGAACCCGGTCGTAGGTTC